CATCCTGTAGAACGTCTTGTTCAAGTAAAAGAGGCGACAGATAAAACTGGAGAAGGTATGGCAAACGAAATTCTATCATCAGTAGCCGGAGTGTAAGACAGACAATTCAATGTTGCGTTTTCAGACGTATGACAGCGCTTACAATATGTCGGGTACATACAATGCCAAATGGAGCCCAAAAGAAGCTTTCCAAAAAGGTTGAATGAGAGATAATCTATGTACCAGGTATTGCTCATGGGGCAAATTTAGTCAGCGAACACAGCAGTAATTCCAGCCATTGCTCTCATAAAATAAAAAGCATGTATGAAGTTCTTGAAGCAATATACGTGTTTTTCAACGCAAGTACAAAGCACTCAAAGGTGTGTGGTGAATTGGTCGATTCACTGAAAGAAGTTGAAAATGCGCTGCAGTTAAGGAATCTGTCGAAAACACGATGGACAGTTCATCCCGAGTCAGTCGAAGCCCTATGGAGAAGTTTTAAGACTGCTGTTGAAGCGCTCAGAGCATTAAATTGTACTAGTGAAAATACTGATCCGGATACCAAAACCAAAGGCAAAGCATCTGGTTTACTCATAGGCAGCCCACTAAACGGCTGGCTTTACACCCGTTTTCAAAATTACGCGACCAAGGACGAAAATGCTAGAGTTGACATGTCAGTTTTATGTCATTCGGTCACGAAGTTCAAACTTTGAGTTTTGCGGTTCCTTGTCGATGTTTATGCTTTGTATGCTTTATATAAACAGGCTTACAATGATTTTCAAGATATTTTAGTGAGAATTATTGCAAAATTTAAGCACGACAAAATCATAACATCACCGTTATAGTCTAGCGCGCGTGTTTTATACTGACAGCTAAATTCGAGGATAAATTGTTATTTTTCAAACTTTAAAAGTCATTCACGGTACATATTTCTGTTGTGATGGCTTGTATTGTGCTTTAGTTTGTATATTTAAGTTATCTAACTAATTTTTGTTCAGTTTTGGTATTAAATACGGTTTAAAATGTCTTTTGACAGTTTGTTTACGTTTGCTATTTTTAGCAGTTCTTGCGACATAAAACTGACATTTGAAGTAAGAGTATTTTACCGCTGAAACGGGGGTAAAACGCTGAAATGGGGGTAAAACGCTGAAATGGGGATAAAACGCTGAAATGGGCAAATTTAATCGAATTCGCTGTTTGCTAGACCATTGCGAACACATGTAATTTACCCTGGCTCGTTCCCAGTCGCTCGCGTTGGATCATGGGAATGGGTTAGGTTTTGCCTATAAAACTGAATAAATATAAGAAAGAAGTTCCCGGTAAAATGACAACCACAAATTTTCGAAGAACGAATTTTATCTGACAGTTTATCTTGTATTAATAATGTAATCCACAATTCTCTCCATTTCCATCTTTGGGCGTTGTTTCCTGTCATAGAGAAGTGTGGGTTCTACACGGCCAAAAACGCTGAGCCTGCTGTATTGCCTGTACTGTACTGTACTGTACTGCCTGTACAACAGGTTGCAAGAATGTTATGCTGACCTATTTTTTACAGTTAACAACATTGAACAATATTATTCATCTTGAATGGGGTGCAACAATATACAAATAATGAATGTTTATTCGTGCAATGGTAAGAATATTTTCATGAGGTGAAAGATGGAATGTTCCATTCAGCGAGGCGACAGCCGAGTTGAATGGAACATTCCATCTTTCACCTCATGAAAATATTCTTACCATTGCACGAATAAACATTCATTATTTGCTTTATATAATACCAAAATAGACTGATAGATTCGTATGAGAAGCATTTTGACGGATGCGATTTATCGAAAACACAAAGAGTGCAATGAAATAAAACGTATAGTACAATTGCACTCACAAAGAGTGCAATGGAACGTATTCCGTTGCACTCTTGAGAAATGGAATTTTCTATTCAATATCACGTGACCATAAACAGCCAAATAAACGTAGCACAATATAGCACAATATTGTTGCAACCTGTTTTTATCAACATTGCAACTACAAGTTCATGATTTTTACGCGTGTATACAGTCATGCAGGAGAGGAAAAACGTTTTCTCCGATTTAGACACGTGTCCTGACAATTCCCGGGAAATTCCTGTAACACCGGTTTTACACCCAAAATACCAGCCATCTGACAGTGTCACGATAGTATGCTATCACAAAAAGTTGAGTTCGAAGTTATATGGAGAGAATTGTAGATTACATTATTAATAAAAGATAAACTGTCAGATAAAATTCGTTCTTCGAAAATTTGTGGTTGTCATTTTACCGGGAACTTCTTTCTTATATTTATTCAGTTTTATAGGCAAATTACATGTGTTCGCAATGGTCTAGCAAACAACGAATTCGATTAAATTTGCTCATTTCAGCGTTTTACCCCCATTTCAGCGTTTTATCCCCATTTCAGCGTTTTATCCCCATTTCAGCGTTTTATCCCCATTTCAGCGTTTTATCCCCATTTCAGCGTTTTATCCCATTTCAGCGTTTTATCCCCATTTCAGCGTTTTATCTCAATTTCAGCGTTTTATCCCCATTTCTGCGTTTTATCCCCATTTCAGCGTTTTATCCCCATTTCGGCGTTTTATCCCCATTTCGGCGTTTTATCCCCATTTCAGTTTCCGCTTTGAGTTTCCGTTTCCGCGATTCAGTTTCAGCGTTTTATCCCTACCCGTAAATTAATGTTATTTTCTGCGGTTCGCAGAATAGCAGAAAATTGATGTTTCCACGGTTCATCAAACATGTGACTGCCATGTTCATTGGCAGGGCGTCAAAGTGGTCACATGATTTGGGCAGCTCATTCTAGTCTGGCACTGCATCAACACACACAAATTTTTTTACAAACAGTACTTTTAGTATTTTTACATTTATTATAAACCATCAACAAATCAAAACGGGCACAATGAACGAAGAATTGAGAACAGAACTCCAGGAGTCTATGCTGGAAAAGCTGTCGGCCGTCATGGATACGAAAGTGGGCCAGATGAAGCGTGAGCTGGAAGAAGTGGCCAACAAAGCACATTCCTCGCAAATGACAGAACTCAAGCGAATGAAGTTCTCGGAGCCGCCGTCTTTCAAGTGCAGTACAAACATAACGAGCGAGTAAAATTTTGTATCACCGAGGCAGAGGACGCAATCAAAGACAAGAAGCTAGACACGTGTCTCGAAAAGCTGAGTGAAGGTAAGGAGCAAATCGAGTCGAGACAAAAGCTAATTCTTCTTGCAGACAAATCCGAGTATGGGTGGAAAACCGTATCAGAATATCTCGATAACGAGCTTGCCGACGATGAGGAGGACGCCAAAAAGAGCAAGAAAGCCGAAAAAGAGGCCCAAAGAAAGCTTGACGAGACAAGAAACGCAAAGAAAACTCGCGCCAGCAGTCGCGGTGGATTTTCCTGGTCGCGACGAGGATCTTTCAATGGCGGACGAACCAGGGTTTCCCCGTATTTAGGGCCATATCAACAGCCAGCACCATCGACTTATCCCAACAACCATCTCTACAGTAGTACAGTTGGAAAGAAACCAGGGGTCTGTTTCTCGTGTGGTAAAGCTGGCCATTGGAGCCGTGAATGTCCTCTAACCACCGGGTTTTCGACTGAAGCACAGCAAAGTGGAGGCACCGTACGAAAGTTAAGTGTAATTTCGTCAGATTATGAGGGGCTAGACGAAGATGTAGGTTCCTTTCCCAATGTGTTGGGCGAGGATAGTGAGTTAGAGCGCTTTGCACAGGACAATGATACCCTGCTTGAGGAAGGGGAATTTTCCCAAGGTGATC